GGGCCCGCCGCTCCCGGCACGGGGCTCCTCTGCGCGGCGGCGCCCGCGCTGTCCCCTCGCTGCCGCCGCGCCGCCCATCCTCGTCGCCTCGCTCCTGCGCGGGCACCGGGGCGGCTGCTAAACCGCGGCCGGTACCGGCGAAGCGCTATGCGGCCTCGCAGCGAGCGCGGTGGGGCGAGTTTTGTTGGTTTTCTTTTTTTCTTCCTCTTTTTTGATTTTCTTTTTAAAATATATATATATAAAGCCAGATTTTTCCAAGCAGGTTTATTTATTTCCTGAAATAAAAAATACACCCTCTGGCGAGGCTTTACGGCAGAAACCCGGGCCTTTAAGCGCGCAGGGCGCCGTCCCCCGAGCCGCTCTTCGGTCCGAGGTGCTGCCGCAGCCCGCGCCTCTCCGCGCCGCTCCCAAATCCGCCGTGTTTCCGCGGCCTCAGCGCTGTTCCTGGCTGCCATGGGTACACCGGGAAAGGGGATCTGCGAGCGAAGCAAAAAAAGAGACCTCAAACCCAATTAGTGATCGCGGGAAATGTTTAGGTTTCCATACAATGAAATTGTCGGGAGCGTTTGCACACGGGAAGGAAGGGCTGCGATTCATTCCTAGGCCAACACAAGGTGATGTCACGAATGCGATCGAAACGTTGCCAGCTTCTTCGTTCTTCATATCTGTATACAATTTACGGTTTAATTACAAATATTTGATCTACACGCGTTTAGCGGTTAGTTACCAAAGCAGATATCACAGCAAATATAACTCGCTCTCCCGAGCTTGTACGAAATTACTCAAACTTTTTTTTTTCTTCGATAAAGGAGAGCAACAACAACAAATTTCTAGAGCACTTCGATGTGGCAGCGCCTGTGCAGGGGTGCGCGTTTTAATCCTAGGAAAAAGAAGCTGCAATTAACTCCATCCCCTCGTATTTCTATCTCTTTTTTTTTTTTTTTACTTTTCATTTTTGTTTTTGTTTCACTAAATTTGGACGCGCCGCTGGTGCCGGGCACAGGGGCGCCGCGGCCCCCGCGCTGCTGCGGCCACCGACTGCTGAGGCCCGGCCCGTCGGGCTCCGGGATCCGCGCCCGGCCGCTCGGGCCGGGCCCGCTGTCACGGCAGCGCCCCGGGGGGCGG